TCCGGACGGGATGAAGCGAGCCGCTGCGGCAGTGACTACCCTGCGGAACTGGCGTTCGCCAGTATGTATGTTTGTGGGTGTGAGGAGGGCGGTGAAGCTGCTCTCGGTAACTTCCGCGCAGCCGTCCCAATCAGCTTTGGTCCACTCCCGATGAGACCTAAGAGCAGAGCAGGTTCTTAGGTGACTCCATCCGTTGCATGAATTGCTCCTAACCGAATTGGAGTTTGGATGGAGTCGATTCTGGCAAACGAAACAGAAATACGTTTCTGGTCCGGGGTTGGGCTCTACGCCCGCCCGGAGAAAAAGGATGCGGAGCAATCCGGCTGCAAGGAGTTGCTCCATGGACGAACAATGATTGAGGGGTTTCGCCGATCTAACCGGGTTAGGTCACCGAAACAACAGCCCTTGGTCGAGTAAAACCCGAGTCATTCCGGTACGTAGAACCGGCTGTCTTGGGAATGGACAATTTGTGGTTGTTGTTGTTGTAGCGGCTACAACAACCCCGCCCAGGACGGTTGGCATCTCAGTCGTTGTCGTCAAGTTCCACTAACGGCAACCCTAGGAAGCGTGCAGCTTCTGTGGAGTTTGTCCACAGGGACAAGGCCGTTAGGGTTGTCGGGTTTTCCGGGCATGCGAAGAGATGTTTCGAGTCATGTGGGGTCTCTCCGCATGCCGGACACTCATTCGGCACATCCTCATTCAACCTACTCAGGTAGGAGTTTAACCTGCTGCAGTAGCCGGAGCTCCGTCTCGTCTATGTCCGGGGGGTGGTATGCCTAGAACGACATTCACAGGTCTAGAGTCTACATAACTCGAGACTGAGTCCCTGTGAATGCCGTTCAGGGCCTGTCGGTAAGCTGTCGGGTCCAGAGGTTGCTTGATGAACCTCTGGACTTCGTCTGTCAGTTCATATAGATGCCTCCTGACGTGCCTAGGCGAGGGCTCCTCTGCAAGCAGCTGTCTGCTTGGGTGGCCACTTCTGTGGCTCCCGATCAGGAACTGCTTGCAGAGCATTATATTATGCTCCTTTACGGGGAGCATTTGCGCCTCGCCGTGTAGATGGTGTTCGGGCGACATCAGGAGGCATCCTGTCGCTGGCCTGAGTGCGGTGTTCTGTACAGTCTGTAGCTTCGTCCACTGCGTCCTACTAGTTCCTGGCGACCACACTGGCGCTGCGTAGTTCAAAACCGGCCGGCCTATTGCCTTTTATGTTGCCAGCAACGTTTCTTTGTCTTTGCCCCAAGTACTGCCGGCTAGCGACTTGAGGACCTTGTTGCGGCTCTGTTCTTTATTGACAATAGCGGTTGCGTGCGCAGAGAAGGAGAGCAAGCTGTCGAATGTTACTCCGAGTATTTTGGGGTTATTCACCGTCGGAATTGGTGTGTCATCGACTTGAATCCCCAACGGTAGCCTGACCTCCTTCGTCCAGGTTGTGAACAGGGTCGCGGAGGATTTCGTAGGGGAGAGGGCTAGACACTTTGCATTGAAGAAGCGAGAAAGTTCGGAGAGATACCCGTTTACTTTCGAACACAGGTCATCAATTCCATTCCCAGTCGCCATGATCGAGCAATCGTCAGCATAAGAGACAAGCGAGACGCCCTCTGGTGGTTGAGGGAGCTTTGAAATGTAAAAGTTAAACAGTAGCGGGGAAAGGACACCACCCTGTGGAACCCCCTGTTTTATATTTCACTGTTTACTCGTTTTGTCTCTAAACATTACCGACGAATGTCGACTACTCAGATAATTTGCCGACCACCGTTTGAGCCTCTGTGGGAGAGAGGAGGCCTCTATATCTTCTAGTAGCGTGGAATGGCAGACGGTGTCAAACGCCTTTGACAAGTCCAACGCTACTACAATCGTTCTCTCACAGGGACGGTTTCGGATAAGACCACGAGTTATCTGAGTGTTTATGGCGTTAAGTGCTGTTGTTGTACTGTGCACTTTACGGAAACCATGCTGATGCTTCGCTGGGGTCAAGTGGTTTGTGAAGTACGGGAGTAGCAAGGCCTCGAGTGTCTTCGCTACCGGGGAAAGGAGTGTTATCGGACGATAAGAATCTCCTTTGTTGGCAGGTTTCCCCGGTTTGAGCAGTGGGACCACTCTCCCCACCTTCCAGATGTCTGGGATGATGAGAGTGGCCATTGACAGATTGAGGACCTCCGTTAGGTACGCTACCCCCGCAGGACCCAAATTTTTCAGCATCAGCATGCATATTCCGTCGGGACCCATGGCTTTGGAGGCTTTCGCCTTCCCGATGGCCACCTGAACTTCACCGCAAGTGAAAGCAAGGGGGGCACAGGTTGTTGGCAGTTTGTGCAGCCTTCTGGTCACTCGAGGCTTGGCTTTGTCCACCGGAGGATGCAGTATTAACTGCCGGCTAAAATAGCTCGCGCATCGCTCCGGGTCCGACGAAGCATGGTCGCCGAAGGAAATTTCGACTCTGTCATCGTGCTTCGTCGGATTGGACAGTGACCTCACGGTTGACCAAAGCTTGCTCACACCAGATGTGAAGTTACAGGTCTTCAGATGCTCCTCCCACTTCTTCCGCTTATGTACGTTTACTAGTTGCCGAATCTCCGCGTTGAGATCCCTGATACGGGGATCTCCGGGATCGGCCTGACGAAGGCTATCACGCTCATCGGCTAGAACAGCCGCTTCGGCAGGGAAGTTTGGACGTGGGTCCGATATACATCCTGCCGGTATGAAGCGAGCTGCAGCAGCAGTGACAGCTCTGCGGAACTTACGTTCACCGAGATGGACGTCGGTGGGTGTGGGGAGCGCTGTGGAGGTGATTTCGGTAAACTCCGCGTAACCTTTCCAATCAGCTTTAGAAAAGTTGATATAGGTCCGGTGTTTGGCGGAGGCAAAGTCGGTTGGTTTATCTATCGAGATGACTATGGGTAGGTGGTCTGATGCTAGAGTCAGCATAGGTCGCCATGTTATGCTGTTTATCAGACCAGCGCTGACTATTGTGATGTCTGGCGAGCTACTGCAGTTACCCATAATCCTGGTGGGTGCGTCGTCGTTCATTGTGCAGAATGTCGAATCGTCTATCTGCTCAGCCAAGTCTGTTCCCCTACGATCGTTTGACATGCTTGAGTGCCAAAGTTCGTGGTGCGCATTAAAGTCACCTACTACCATACGGTTTTCACCTCTCGAGGAGCGCACCTATGTCAGGGTGATATCCTGCCGGGCAGCAGGTGACAGGGGGTATGTATATGTTAAATATTTCGAGCTCAACATCGCCTGACCGGAAAGCGATGCCCTGACATTCTAGGGTGGTATCCCTGCGGTCGATGTATGCTTCGATTAGACGATACTGCACGGTGTGGTGCGTGATGAAGGCTAAGCCACCACCATTATCTCGCTCGCGATCTCGACGGTGCACGTTGTACCCGGCGCAATTCAACAAAGTTGAATTGCTGTGCAACTTCGTATCTTGGACCGCAGCTATCAATATACCATGCCGACACATGAAGACGGTTATCTCCTCAATCTTGCTCAGTTAAATTGAAGGAGCTTCATGTGGTTCGGGAGACGCGTCGTGATGTGGGGTGTAAGTGATGTGTGTTCTTACCGCCGTTGGCTGTGTGCGCTGCTGTGATGATTGCCGCCCTGTGGTGGTGGCGGGAGGCGTCGCAATTGGGGTCTGCGACCGAGCAGCGCAACACGGGCCCTCGAAGTTCCCAGTTCAATCTCGCGTGGTACGCAGACCTGAGCATGCCCTGAAGTAGCACCAGCCAAGGCAGGTGTTGCACTTGACTGATGTCACATTACGGAATATCCTGGTCTGACATACCGTGCAGATTGTAGGGGGAACCAGGAGTTATTGGCGGCGGCGTGTGGGTGGTGGTGCGGTTGTGTGTGTTATGTGGTCTGTCGTGGCTGTGGTATGGTCTGTGGTGTTATTGTGTTGTTGTGTTGTGGTGACTGTGTGAGGCTGCTCGGGCGGACTGAGGTTAGCCGTGGAGGCTGCTCTGTTTGAGCAACAGGGGGCCACGTACGACGTGGTCCACTGTCGATGTGTCCGTAGTCCCGAGCAGACCCTGAGGTGACTCCACCCCTCGCAGGCATTACACTTGACTGAGGTAGAGTTCTGGTGTAATCGTCTCCGGCATACACAGCAGCTGTAGGTTTCTGGCCCTGGGTTTGACTCGATGCCAGCCCTGAGTAGAAGAATACGTAGTGAATGTAGCCCTATGGACGGACAACTTCTGAGATACTTCGCCGACCTAAACGGGGTTAAATCGCCGAAACAACAGCCCTTGGTCGGGTAAAACCCGAGTCATTCCGGTATGTAGAACCGGCTGTCGTGGGAACGGACAATTTGTGGTCAATATCTTAGGCTCGCCCAAGTCCAGCAAAGTTCAATATGGCCAAAAAACAAAAATTAATAAATAAATTAAGTAATACATTTTTTTACTAAAATTGCAATAATCTTCTTAAGTATTAGTCCTACATAATTAAGTATATGGACCTTTTTGTAGAGGACCGAAGTTCGCTAAGAAACATTTTTTTTAGTACTTGAACTTTGATGGACTTGGGCGAGCCTGGATATTGACCAAAAACTTTCACATTTCACACTATTTTTTAGAGCATAATGAACCATATTTTTGCTATTACCAATCAAAATTCTAAAAAAGCGGTTTTCGGCCCATGCTAGTGTACATATATGGTATATGGGGTATGGAAATATCCCTTTTCCCTAGCAGTAAGCCTTTTAGTGTGGTCAACAATGATGTTTTTCAAATAAGGCAGATCGGAATATGCGCTCTCTGGGAAGACAATATCTGTAATTATTGTACCATGGGCTAATACCTCCTTGTTAGATACACCTTGGTACTACCGCTACCACCATATATGAATTCGCCTTGGATTGAGATCTTTACGAATTCTTTAAAATTTATACGTACATATACAATGCAGAATACTCTCAAAATTTTGTTAGCAGGGTATGTATGAGGGCCTGCAAAAGTTTATAAAAAATCATGTTTACGTACTTAAAAGTCAATTGGCCTAAGAGGCATGCACGCTCCGAGGCCGGCAGCAATGGAAACCCATGAAATGGCCCGACTTTATTCCAATACATGTGATTAGAGCTTGAAGATGATGTGGAATTATACAGAAAACTGCGATAACTGTAAATTAATTCTAATTAGTATTCTTTGATATTTTATGAACAAACCCACCGACTGACCGATTAACTAAGCCATTGTTGTTCATACCACAGTCGATTCCCATTACGTCGCGCATATGGGACATGGGACCACGGTCCCCATGTCTAATGACCATCAGAACCCCCTGCAGCTTCCAACCATCCAATATTCCACCATCATCATGGCGCACCAATTGTCCTAGAGGTGCACAACGTTCTTTAAATTTACTATACTTCAACAAAGTCTTCTCTTGTGTCTCGGATTCGACATCCTCCGAATACTGCGCAGCTTCAGAGAATGATTGTGAGTGCGATTCTCCGTTGAGGAAGCGAAAGGTACTACTAAGAGAATTACCATTGTAGCCAATGTATTTGTACATACCTGAAAATATTAATTCTACACACGGTTATACTCAATGGACAATTTCGGTGAAAGCTTAAGGAATACATCTTACCAGCAATAAGAAGGAAAATCCATATACTTAGTAGTAAATAACAGTGCAATGTCCGATGTTGCGTTGAAAATCGGATCAACTCTTTTAATAACATACTTAAAAAATATAATTTCGGTTTCTTTCGTCTAAAACTAATTTAAATTCATTTTCAAACAATATTTGCAACAATCAGGTCCAATTATTATTAGAAACTGTTAGAAACTAAATATCGTCGCATACATGTGCATATATCGCACACCGTCTTCAAAAGAGTCATAACTCAAAATTTGCCATTTTTTGAAATTATACGCTAAAAATGTACACAGAGCTTTTATTTACCTTTCATAAAAAGCTGGAGCAAATTTTTGCTTTAATTTGTTACAAAAACCCAAGGTAAAGTCGCCCTTGCCCATATGATTAGCATGTGCTACGAATTAGTTTTTCGCATTCTCTGACGAACGTATTATTATGAGTTGTGCCTCTTTTGAAGACGGTGTGCGATATGTATGTTCAGAAAGACGACATGCGCAATTGTGAATCCAGTCCCTTTACTTGTACATATGCCTACATATATACTATTTACTGCATAAAAAAAGACAATTAAATAGCAAATTAAATATTTTTCAAACGATTCCCATGTTTTATTAAATTAAAATGAGATGCGTGCTTAAAGTACCAATACATTAGCAATATAAAAAAAAATTTCCGAGTAAATTTAAGGCTTTATTTATATAAAATTCTCATGATGCATAAGCGCAGAGCCTAACTAAAGAAAAGAGCACTTCCTAAGTGACTAATAATAATAATGCAGAGTTCAATTATCTGACGCGACTAGCGCCATTACTGTAAATCGCAGTTCGTCTGGGTCACGTGCCATGAACTCCTTGCAAACTTTGGCAGCGTCTTGCACAAACGTTTCATCCGAAGTGGAGCCATGTTTAATTGGAAATTGTTTGCGTCCATCCAACTCGTACAATGTTCCGTCCTTATTGATCAAAGCGATAAAGTGATGATTTACTTTCTCCTCTGGATCAGCAACAGTTTGGCCTTCTTTGGCAAGTTCATGATGCCCCTCGGTAAAAGATTTATCATTTTCCAAAGCTTTGCCACGCTCTTCAGGTGTTAAATCCCTTACACTTTCAAGGAAACTCTTCAGAACTCCTTCGGTGAGAGAAATGCTAAATGAAGTCAAATTAATAAATTATTTTAACATTTTTCATGCCGAAAAACCTTGTACTGTTTGCCACGCAGTGTATTAGAGCAACCGTTCCGCAAGCGTTTGAGGTAAGTTGGCGCATGTAAAACAGGTCGTCCGGAAAAATACCGGGATCTGCAGCTAAACTTTCGTGCTCTTGGGCCCTATGCTTTTCGTACTAAATATAAGCGCCGGTAAAAAAAGGGAACAAATGCACAATACCTACAAATCTCGAAATAAAAAAAACATAGGATCGATAGAGACCATTGAGGTGAACATAACGGTATATATATTTCTTTTTGAAAACAACAACTACAACAATTATTAAAGGTCAAAGTTCAAATTAAGCATTTTTTTGAAATTAATATTTCTCGAAAACCTCTTCAAGGAATTTGATGTCATTTGATAAAGAATTTAATTCTCTTTAATTTGATATACATATTTATACATATACCTTTTTATAGTTTTCACAAAAATCGAATAAATGTGGAAAAAAGGTATAGTGTTTTTGTGTAAAATTATTTTTGCGCAGGCGGCCTTTGACCGCACGTATGGATTAGAACCCTCACAAAGTAGAATTCTCTTTCAGTGTTGCGAAAGGCGCTGAACACCTTTTGCAGAGAACACCTTTCTGCGTAGGAGGCCTTCGGCCACGCTTATGGATTATAACCCTCACAAAGTAGAATTCTCTTTCTGTGTTGCGAAGAAAAGGCGCTGAACACCTTTTGCACAGAACACCTTTCTGGTTATGGATTATAACCCCCACAAAGTAGAATTCCCTTTCTGTGTTGCGAAGAAAAGGCGCTGAACACCTTTTGCAGAGAACAACTTTATCCGTAGGCGGCCTTCGGCCGCGCTTATGGATTATAACGCTCACAAAGTACAATTTTCTTTCTGTGTTGCGAAGAAAAGGCGCTGAACACCTTTTGCAGAGAACACATTTCTGTGTAGGCGGCCTTCGGCCGCGCTTATGAATTATAACCCTCACAAAGTAGAATTCCACATTAATTAGATTTTTGTGAATACTGTAAAAGATATATGTATAAATATACAGTATTGGCCAATACAATAGCACCCCCATTTCAAAGTCATATTGTTTGCCACTCATGTTTATTTATTTATTTTTAAGAATTTTCAATTAAAATACAGTTTATTCTCTCACAAAACTCACATAAACTCAAGTTTAAAACTTTTTAAAAGACCGCAAGAAAGTGCAACAAATTTTCACCCAAACTTCAAACTTTTTCTCAGAAGCGGTAGAATTTTTTTGAATACACAGTTTTATAGCCAATTCAATTTTAGTCTAATAGTGTGCAAGTTTCAAGTGGCTAAAAATTACCGTTGATTTTTTAGAATTTTTTTTCGCCGAGGATGTTGCGGGTTTCTGCCATATAAAAATAAATTGTGTTTAGTCGTTATATGGAAGCAAATGAGACAAAAAAAATTCTTAAAAATCAACGGTAATTTTTAGCGACTTGAAACTTGCACATTATTGGACAAAACTTGAATGCGCTATAAAACTGTATACTCAAAAAAATTCTAGAGCTTCTGAGAGAAGTTTGAAATTTAAGGGAAAGTTTGTTGCGCTTTTTTCGGTCTTTTAAAAGGTTTAAAACATGGGTTTATATGGGTTTTGTTAGAGAATGAACTGTATTTTAATTGAAAATTCGTAAAAACAAATAACTAAACACAAGTGGCAAACAATATCGCTTTGAAAGGGGGGTGCTATAGGTATGTCCAATACTGTTCATCAAATTAAAGAGAATTAAATTCTCTATCAAATGACTTCAAAACTGAAATTCAAATCCTTGAAGATGTTCTCGAGAAATATACTTAAAAAAACATGCTTAATTTGAACTTTGACCTTTAATAGTTGTTGTAGTTGTTGTTTCCCAAAAAAAATATATATACATACATCGCTACGCCCACCTCAATGATCTCCATCCATCCCAATATGAATTTTTTTAATTTGAGAATTTTAGGTATTCTACATATATGCCAAAAAAAAGAAATGTATTTCTAATATTCATTCTCCAACACTCACAGCCTCAGAAACAGGAAAAAGCAATATAATCGCTTTTACAGGCTGCGGAATCCATTCTAGCATTTCAGGATCTAAGCCAACGACATCGGTAATAGCCCAATCCTTGGATACTCCCAATGTGTGAATGTACTTGGTCAGTACTTTTTAAAATAATACAATTTACTTGTTCCTAACCTTTATTGTATACTGTGCCTTTATTTGAAAACCGGCAAATAGGGACAAAACTATACTAGTACATACAAGACATACTCGATACTTTTCGTCCGATTACCAAGTAATTTTGGTATTGATATTTTAGAACTGAGTACTGAGTAGGTATCGGAAGAGAGTACTTCTATCGAGACCCGATTCAGTGAGAATTTTATTAGCGGACTTTTATTTTTTAATCTAATTATTATTACAAATTTTTGTCAGTTTAGTTGCCAATGAAAAGAAGATCCTACAAAGAAAGACCTATTAGGTTCATTCCTTATCTTTTTGGACTAAAATCTGAAAAGTGTCAAAATGCCAGAGCGTAAAACTATGTTCACATATCAATATTATCTCAATCAAAGCTCGTTTTTTAATCACCCCGTTTACACAGGCAAATCTCAGATTATTAGCCGTCAAATTTGTTGTGCTTGTTATTCTCACATCTCAAGGAAAATTTATGTTTCTTCTCTGTGCCACCGTGATCACGTTTTTCTTCTCTAATAAGCAATATAAATATATTTTAACTTAACATTTTATTAAAAATACCTTTACAAACCTCTTTTACTTGCTAGCGTACATTTTTGTTTACTTTTACATTTGGCATTTCTCCTCTCTTTCGCAAAAACAATCGATAAAACTAGGATGGACACCGAAAAGTTATCGGTTAAATCTGAGATTATTTTATAATTACAGATTAACAAGGGACGAATTTTATATGGCTAATCTCTCGTTATAATTACAGATTAGGGTGTTAAGCTCGAAAATGAGGATAATCGACTTATATGTGAACCTGGTATAAGCAAAATGCGCTCACTAAAAGAGAATAACAGGAAAAGTAAAGGAACGCAAAAAACCAAATTTTTAAGCTGATGCCAGATAAAACTTTGTAGCTTTGCGTGACATTTATAACTTTGCCAGCAAAGCGCCAGACGCAAAAGGTATGCCACAATGAACGCCAAGAAAACAATGTTGTACCGCTTTTTTACTCATCAAAGTTGCTGTGGATTTTAATTATTTTGATTTAAAATTATCAGCAATGTAATTAAGTTTTATGTTTCTGCATGAAAACCCGAATTTGGACGAAACAAAATAAATATTAAACCGGCTGATTGTCAAAGCGCGCAAAAAGATGAGAGTTGACCATCTTTTCGCTTCGCGCTGCCGCTTCAACGATTTATGTGGCATGCTTTGTGCATTTTCATACAATTCATCTTATCTGTCAAAGCGAATCTGTCACGTAAAGCGAAGCAAAAGTTTTATGTGACATCAGCTTTAGTCCAAAGAATGGCAACAACAAAGCTAACGTCAAATAAGAATAGAAATGTATGTACAAAACACATTCACACAAGCACAATAAACACTTACTATATCAATTATTTTTTGCCTCCTTCCAATTTGAATTCACTATTTTACTTTCTAAATTATTCTCACTTTTTGCGTATTCTTTAATTTCCGTTAATTGAAATTCAGTTGAGTTTGACACTTTTCAGGATTTTGCCAGAAAAAATTCTTCTGACTAAATCTGACTACTTCGGACTAATGAGAGTCACTCCCACTCTGTGTTGCTCTCTCATTTTTGCTGTTATTTCCGAGTTAAGAAACGCTTTTTGGACTAAATCTGACTACTTCGGACTTTTTCTGACTATTTCTGGGAGATAAGGAACGCTCCTATAATCATCTCATTAACATAACGCTTGCTTAAAGTGAAAAGTTGCTAAGTCCACTTTGATTAAAACTCATATTTGGATATAGGAAGCAAGGTAAATTCAATACGCAACGTCTCCAGAGGGATTAACTAACGTGCTTTTTTTATTTCTTCCTGTTTATATTCAATTACAGGCAAATTTACTAAGTCGAAACGAGGCACATCGATAAGCACACACAAAATTCTACTGAAAAATTTTTGAAGGAAATGTTTTGAAAAGTCTTTATCCTCCCCTGTAAATTTTCTACAAATGGACTTTTTGTACAAAATTAATATTTATGTATAAAATATTTATATTAAAAGCCGCTTATAAAAAAGAAGAAATTCTGTTAACGAAATTCTGTGGACTTTTTAAAAAACAACTTATTGGACTCCGGTCTTTTTTCTCGTTTTTTGGGAGGCCATCCTGGTAAAAAATATTTTTAAAACTTAAAGTTTTCTTAGAAAGATTAAGTACCATTCGTCTAAAATCAAGACTATTAGTCACATATGTTATTTTGACAATAATGCATAAATATGTGATAGCGTTTTTCATACAAACAAATCTTAAATAGTGTGGCGAATACTGCGGTAACGCGAAGCGAACAACGGGAAATAGGCAGAATGTTCGAGGAATGACGTAGAATGTACCACAAAGAGAAACGTCAAGTTGGATGAACACTGCGAACAGCGAGAGAAAGAGAATGAGCGATAAACTTCAGAACGTTCTAGAGTTGTCATAAGTGCGAGCGCAGGTATATAAGGGCGCCGCCACAGCGAAGTGAGTTAGTTACAAGTCAGCAAGCTTCAAGTAAAGTGAGTTGCAAATAAGCAAGCTATAAGTTTAATCGTTGTAACAAGTTTTGTAAAGCGTTGTAATTGCTTTAACGAGTACTGTAAAGTGTTTTTACTGTATTATCGAGTATTGTAAAGTGTTTCTTGTACAATAAAGTTAATTGTACTACAATTTGGTCATCGTGAGCATTTATTTAACAATCCAGCGATACGAGCCGGAGATATTTGGAAAAGGTTTCTAGGATAATCGTAACAATTGGTGTCAGAAGTGGAATTGTTAAATAAATCCCGAAGGATAAACTTTTGAAAATGGCAAAAATTCAAGACCTAAAGATCGAGGAACTCAAACAGGAGTTGGAGAAGCGAAATTTAGCAACCTTCGGAAGAAAAGTGGAGTTACTATCACGGCTTCGAGAGGCTATGGAAGCAGAAGGCATCGACGTGGACAAATACGAGTTACAGGGTAAACTCGACGATGCATCTGAAAGGATGAACAGAAGGATGAGGCCTCTTGTTCGTCGAAGGATGTGTAGCAGACATCCGGGAAGGTTGAAGAACAGCAAAAGTCTCCAAGTTCGTTCGAGCGCTTCAAAGCCACAGGAGTGGATGGCGTCCGACCAGTCATGTTACAACAAGGTGGAGAAACCGTAACACTGCACCTGGTGGATATAATGGGAAGCAGCCTTGCGGAGGCTTACATTCCACAGCTGTGACGTAGGGCGCGAGTAATCTTTATCCCGAAAGTGGGTAAAAGAGATTATTCGCTAGTGAAGTCATTCAGACCAATAAGTCTTACCTTCTTTGTCTTGAAGGCAATGGAGAAGATAGTGGACAACAATATCAGACATAACATTCTGAAGGAAACACCCCTACACCCCTGTCAGCATGCATGTCTACGGACACAGCCCTGTACCAACTGACAACGGAAATTCAGCAAAGGGGACACGCGGTACAAATACAAACAAAAAAGGCTGTCTTCAGGGGGGGAAGGGGGGTGATATCCCCCCTTCTATTCTAGTGGATGAACTCCTTCAACTTCTCTCTGACAATGGTATCCGCTGCCAAGGCTATGCGGACGATATAGTAATCATTGCCAGAGGGAAGTTTGAGAGCACCCTCTGCGACATCGTTCTAAGAGGCCTTAGATTAACAAGGGAATGGTGTGCCAAGTTAGGACTGAGTATAAACCCAGCTAAAACCGCCATCACTAGGAAAAGGGCCTTACCGGGCATGAGGGACATTATGTCGCCAGGGAAGTGAAGTACCTAGGACTAATCCTGTACACCAAGCTTCTATGGAAGAAATATGTGGATGAGACCACATCCAACGCTACAAAAGCATTAATGATGTGTAAGCGTTTGTCGGGCGTTTGTCCTAAGATGACTTTACACCATGATAGTACACCCAATAGTGACATATGGGGCAGTGGCCTGAGTTTAAAGAACCCCTCTGGCTACTGTGAGACAATCGCTCACTAAGCTACAACGACTGGCATGTGTATGCATAACGGGAGCGATGCGCACGTGTCCGACGACAGCGCTGTAAGTGGTCCTTGAACTCGAGCCCCTGTACATAACTATAGAACTGGCTGCCAAAAGAACTCTGCTCTATTTCACTAGAGAGGGTCATGGAAGAGGTAAGGTCATTTCCTCTAGGAACATGGCGAAGCTAGGGTCCTCGCTCCCGCTCCTCCTTTGAGACACTCCTTCAGGATCGTACACTGCATTGGTACACAGATGGCTCGAAGACCACGGAAGGAATAGGGACTGGAATTTCCGGACCTAGGTCCAGGATCCCTATCCCGATGGGGAAATATCCGAGCATATTTCAGGCTGAAGTCTACGCCATCTACTTGTGTGCGGAGACCATCATTAATAGAGGATACCGTAATGAGAGGATTGTAATTCTTAGTGACAGTCAGGCGGCACTCAAGGCTCTGTTATCTTTCGAAATTAAATCGTCTCTAGTCCTTGAGTGCATAGAGAGGCTCAACTCCCTTGGTAGGCACAACAACGTCAAACTGGCGTGGGTGCCTGGCCATATGGGAATAGAGGGGAATTAAGCGGCGGCGCTAGAGAGGCGGCAGCCATTACTCCAATTGGCCCTGAGCCCTTCCTGGGAGTGGGTCCCAGCACTATTAAGGGACTCGAACTGGCAGAGTTCGGTAGGTATGCGACAGACAAAAAGCCTGCTAGGAGGGTACAACAAGAGTAGATTCAAAAGTTTAATTAGCCTCCCAAAGGAGAGGCAGAGAATATTAACAGTTTTCTTACAGGCCACTGCAGACTGGGAGGGCATATGTATAAACTGGGGTTACGATCGAATGACCTTTGCCGGTTCTGCGACGTCTCCAGTGAAACGCCACTCCACATCCTCATTGAGTGTGATGCAGTCAGCAGAAGACGTGAGAGTAGTTTAGGCTCCATGTGGCCACAGTTAGTGCACATTCACTCCTTATCCCCAAAGAAGCTTTGGGACTTCCTGGGGGATCTTAGCTTGGAGGAAGTATTGTGAAGAGTGGAGGGCACAATAGATCATTAGGGCGCAGTGCATAC